CACCATCATACTCACGCTTCTCCATTCCTTTCGAAGACCCATCACAAGGATGAGATTGAATTCCATTGAAGTCCTGGTGATTCCATAGCGATTACATCGGTAGATTAACTCGTTCAGACGATCATAGTATGCTTCAATTGTTTCACCTTCTTTTTGTCTGAAATCTTTTAGATCAACCAGGCATTGTTTGACTGAATTGATTTTCGTCTTCTCACTTCCTTGAAACTTTTCTTTCAGATTGTTCCAGATCTCCTTAGTAGTTGTACAACTCCTTACGTAATTGTACACAACTGGAGGTAAAGCTCCTCGTAATTCCCTTACGCATCTCTTCTCCAGTTTCTTCAGACGATCAGTTTGATTTTCAACACCAGAACTTGCAGAAGATGATCCAATTGCTTGAACATTCGTCGGAGGATTGACATTTCCAGAGATACATTACCATAATTCTTCATCAAGACCATTAAGATAATCCTGCATCCGATCAGCCCACTAATCATAGTATTCAGGGATTAGCATTAGAATTTTGGTCGATGATCCTAACGATGAGAAAACGAGGTCATAGAATTGAGATTGAAGGTCTCCATTGTTGTACGGAAGATGATTTTGAGAATTTTGAAGAAAATTTGAGACTTTGAGAACAAACTAGTTGAATCAAATCGGAATTACTAGAAGAACACTCGATTCAACAATTCAAATGCAGAATCGAATAACAAACTAAAATCTAGACAAAATTTTCTTCACTATCAAAAAGTGCGGAAACTTTTGAACCAAAAAATTGATTCAAAAACTTTTTGAATAGATGAAAATCAAATCACAGATGTGATTCCTGCTCTGATACCAATTGATGAATCAAAAAATTGAGTATAAAACGAATCAGAGTTAAATTGAAGTAAGAATGCGAGATAGAACACCGGATGTAAATATGATCTTGTTTCAGCTATATTACGCTTTCGAATGTTTACAGAGTACAAAGACAGGTCTGCCAAAAAACTCTTATCTAACTCTAGTAAATGTCCCTATTTATAGGAAACAGAAAGCGTACAAAAAATATACTAAGGCATAAACCACTTAAGTTTCGAATCAAATACGCCTTAGTAAAATATATTACAAAACATATGAAGAGTGCAAAACATACTTCGACTAATTACAACATATATGACCCTTACAAGATTCACACCTCAGTTAGTGTATTTGGTCAAGCCAATCATGTAAGTAGTGAATGGGGTAATTCCTTTGGAGTTAGCGATGTAATATACCCTTGATAGCGATGAATGATGTGATGAATAATAATAATAGTAATTACATTGAAGAATAATATAAAATAACTAATGGGAAGAATAAAGAAATGTTTAAGCGAAGAATAATATATGCAATATATTTTAGTGATGCTATATGTATCTGTGTGAAGGAATACAATGTGCGATGTAAAAAGCAGGCTCTATGATAATAATTTGAATGATTGATCCATGTGAGATATGTATGTTTTCTTTTACACTGTACTTATGATTTTGACTCATGCAACATTTGTTGACACTTGCTATTTGCTTTTTTGCATTTTCCATGTGTTGGTTCACGCTGGTTAAGAGTGTGTCCTGGTGAGTGGGGGAAATTCCTTTTGGGTAGTTTTCATTTTAGTTATGTTGACACCACTTGGACATGTCTTGTTGGTCATCATGGTGTTTTGAATTATCATACATAACTGGTTTTTGATTTGGGTTGTTTTGATTTTAAACGTAACATTAGTGATTGTTTTGAAAATAATTGCTTTACAGACTTTCGTTTCTAATTTCCGTTAAATGATGTTTTAAAATTAAAAAATAAAATTGGTGAAAATCACGGTGTTACATAAAATAAAAAATAACAACCCCATTTTCATCATCTTCAAACATATCGACCCCATAATCATATTTCAAATGGCTTCTTATGTAATCGATAAACCAAATTACACTAGAAAGACACATATACTGCAATCATTGTATGGAGACCTTCAAAGATATGTAAATCGGAGTTGATTTAGATCCACTTTTACTTGGTCCACTGGGCTTACTTAGGCATTCATATTTGTTGTCCCCAATTTGGTTACAAATGGTACATTTTTGTGGAATGCATGCCCTTGACATAGAATGCCTTTTGTACATACTTAGTTCATTTTTTTGCATGATCTCTTTTATTTCTAACACATGGCCTACCAGGTAATCCCCTCCTTTTTGGAGAAAAAAATAGTGTGTAGATAATCAATGTGTAGCCATAAAGAACAATCATTAAATGGGTGGATGGTATACTCATAGCTACTAAGGAAAAAGGCTTTGGTAAAAGATCCTAATATAAATGCTTGTGGATCTAGGTTCAATGAGGAAATGGTAGTTGTGGTATGCACATATAAAATGTTTGTTTATTGTCGCATCCACATGACCTCTAGTTCAAATCGACTACATAACTTTCATTGTCTTGTAAAACTTTAAATTGTTGGTACCCACTCACATAAGCAAGCCAAAATCTATGTATATGAAATATGATAGTCATCAAACATTGTATGAATGTGATTACTAAAAGTGTAAATAACCTTTGCAAACTATTTAAATTCGTTAATAGCCTTCAGATAGTTAGTCATATGTCCAAATCCCAACTCAAACCTTTTTTCTTTTGCATCCATAACCTTTATATTACAAGACATTTGACGTCCTCCAACATTGCTATCAGTGGCTTCCTTCTAGCATCAATGATAACATAATTGAGGCTTTTGAAACTCCATTCTCTACTATATCACAATCCATATCCTCCCAAAAAAAATCCTTGGATCAACACATTTCCCTATCCATGAGATAATTATAAGCCCTGGTTTCTAAGAATTTAATCTCATTTGTTGTTACTTCAAAGTTTGGTATTGTTGCTGCTCTCACAACCCTCTAAAAAGGTTTGAAATATTGTTCCCATTTAAATATTTTGTTGAAGTTAACTAGGATGTGCCTAACACATAATCATTTTTCCACATCAGGTAGTCTTTCCTTTACATCTTCAATTAATCATTGATGAAAATAATAGAATGGTTAATGTATGCATGATCGAAATAATTGAATCAATAGAATGGTAATTGATATACCTCGTGTCCATCTAGGAGTATTGTAATGTCACGACCATTTCCCCTTCAATGTCTTCCATCATATGGTCCAGAAGCCATTTCTATGTTCTCTTATTCTTAACATTGACTATTGCACAAACTAAAGGATAGGTTTGATTATTGGCATCCCATCCTACTATTGATAGGACCTCCCCTCTACATGTGCCCTTTAGAAAGTAGCCACCAATTCCAATTACCTTTATGCATTCATGTAACAGAAAACCTTTCAAAAGCCACAATATCATCAGGCTATAGCTCTAAATACACCTCAACATGAGAACCTAGATTAGCCCTTCTAATTTTAGCTGCATAATCCAACAATTTTGCGTAATGTTCTCTTAAACTTCCCTCAACTTCAGACAATGCAAACTTTTTTTGCATTCCTACACTAACCAACACTCACATTAATGTTGAATCTCTTGGATACTTAGGTTTTCATATCCCTCAAACTCAGTTTTGGCATCTCCGAAATGTAATTCCAAAATTGTTTCCATATCCACTTATATGTTACAACTTACCAAAGTCTAAATGCCCTTGAGGACTTGTGCTCTAGTATAAGGGGCTTAATTTGAAAATTTATTTCCTTTTTCATATTCAGGATGCAAACAATCTAAAAGGGCATGTTGGATTCTTTCATATACAACACCTAACTAGCAGCCTATCCATTTCATTATTTTCAAACCACCTACCACAGCCATTGGCTACAACATAGTTTCTAAGAGAGAATTTAAGTTCAACAGTAGTAGATAATTTCATATCTAATAGAGGCTTCATATTATTCCTTTAGTATATATGATCCTGCCAAAGGTAGATAGCTTCTTGTGCATTCCCAAATTCTTTTAAAATGTCTATACTCTTTATTTGGCAAAGTTTGTTCAAGAAGTGATCATTAATGTTTCTTCTAAAAATATAACTTCCTTATCCTCTTCAGATTCACTTTTCCCACTATCTGCTAAAATGGATTTAACATCTTCAATAGAAACCAAATCATCTTCAAGGTGTCTAGTTATTCCTCCCAGATCCAATAAAAAATGTCATGTTGGTGGTTTACATACATATTTAATCTCTTATCTCTATTAGCAGCTTCAAGAAACTGATTAAAATCACACTCATTACAAATCCAATAAAAAAGTCATGTTGGTGGTTTACATATATATTTAATCTCTTATCTCTATTAACAGCTTCAAGAAACTGATTAAAATCGCACCCATTCTATATAGAATGCAATCCTTAAGCCAAAAATACTTCAGGTACACAATAATACACATCTTTGCACTTACGGTTGGTAAATTTTTCAAGAAAGATGATGACATCGGAGAAGATCATATTGTTCGCATCAATGTCTCATATAAATGCTCTGGTTGCATCAAAATACATCAACTGGGAAGGTGAGAACGCCATTATAGTATACATCAAAGATTGGTATTGCATCTTCTGACATTGTTTATTATGCTTCAGGAAGGGATGTGATTAATGGTGGTGGAGTAGTGTGGCGTAAGGCTTAGTTAATGAACCATAATTGCCCATTGTCCTCTAATTTAGGGTGTAATAGATGTCCTGTCCACATAAGTTTCCACATTCCATGTGGACACCACATATATAATATATTTCTCTAAAAAAAAAACTATAAAATCAAAGATGATCGGCTAAACCTGACGCAACCGGTAAAAAAGAATTAATGTGAAAAAAAACTACTATGTTACCTTTTAGATTGTTTTCCCACTTATAAACTACCCCACTTTACTTCAAGAATTTGGATTATTCATTTTGTTTGAATTCAAGACCCACCACCCCCCCCCCCCCCCCCCTCTTTTAACAACATAAGTCTAATCTGGTTCATATGTTCATATAATGATATATACATCATCATAATATATAATTATCTTCCTCAAATTTTTATGTAATCTGCATACAAGAAAAAATACACCAATAAAAATTATTCCTCATTCATACGTCTACACATAACAAGCAATACGAACATCAATCCGTACAATGTCCAATACGCACTAATGGTGGTACTAAGCCATGTAACAGTCCAATTGCGTGCTATTCGAAACATAATCATAATATTTAAACACAACATTATTCAAACATACATATCACCATCATCATGACATGAACATTGCACTTGCAACCACACACATGAAAGCACACCATGTTTCTAGTGAAGTCCACACCACCACATATATATATCCTGCACACATGAAAATCATCATTATTAGATCATATCATTGATACTTCCAGATGCTAACCTTAAAGTTGTTTAAATAACTCAAATTGTCCAACACACAATCATGACTCATGAACATGCCTTTTTTTAAAATCAATCATGGCCGGTGGTGGCCCATCTAATAGTCATACATGTTACTCGTTATTACTTATTAGCCATTACTTCTTATCTTCAACAGTTTGTGTTGAGGAACTTACAGAAAGGGGCAGTTGTCCACCTCTGGTTATCACCTTTAGTCCACTCCCAACACAGAATTTTGGTGCCATCATGAATACCAGTGTCACCGATAGATGCATCAACATTAAGCTTAATCTTGTTCACCATTCTTACTGCATGAAAACCATCACCCAAATCCTTGCTTTGTGTCCAAAGAACAGATTCGTCAAGCTTATCTGGGTTGTATTCCGTTAGCTGAACCTGTAGAAGGATCCGTTGATGTTTCACAAAAAGAACTTTAGAGTAAACAAATATCTACATATAGGAATCTAAAAGTATTTATAAACAATAGCTGAAATCCTAAGAATGAACTGAAGCACTTTCGAGTTCAGAGTCAGATTGAAACATCTAATGATTGTAAATGACGACATACCGGTTTAGCAGCACCGGTAGCGTGCTTCAATGCCTGTCCAGTAGCTTTATTGACCAGAGCAAAAGAGGGAAAACCCTCTTCGTCTTTGACTCTCGTGCTAAATTTCTCTTCCTTTATCCAATGCTGTGTGAAAAAGGTGAAAAATAAAAGTCAACTAAATAGAAGCATGTGAGTTTATCGGAATTCGGAAAAAGAGGGAATCAGAGGGTACCTGGTGATGATCGGAGGGGTTGGTGGGTGCGAGAACAACTTCTCCGTTACGGATGGTGAGCGAGTAATTAGTCTTGATCTTGCTGTAAAACCTAACAGTGGGTTTATTGTCGGTGTACTTGGGGGTTTGGTGGGTGGTCTGGTGAGAGACATGGTGGACTATAGCTGCAGGTTGCGGTGGTGGTGGTGATGGTTGGTGATGGGAGGGAACATGGTGGGAAGGCTGTGGTGGTGGTGGTGATGGTTGGTGGTGGGCGGGAGCATGGTGCTGCAGTGGTGGTGGTGATGGTTGGTGGTGGGAGGGAGCATGGTGTTGGGGTGGTGGTGGTGATGGCTGGTGGTGGGTGGGAAGATGGTGGGCAGGTTGCGGTGGTGGTGGAGTTGGTTGGTAGGCATTGTGGTGGTGTCGAGGATCCATTTTTTCTAGATTTTATTGGGGTGTGTGTTGGAAGTTAAATAAGAAAAGAGATGAGGAGGGTAGTTAGAAGATTTTGTTTTTTTGTCCGGTGGAAAAAATCATGTGCCATTATTTCATTGTTTTTTTTATTCTTTTTTTATGACAAATGGCCACGTAGAATTTTTTTTATTTATATATTTCTGCAGAAAGAATTTATATTTGGTCAAATAGATTAATTACACGATTGCACAATGCTTTGAGCAGGGTCGGCCCATGGGCCTGGGCAAGCTGGGCGACCGCCTCGGCCCCCAAATGCTATAGGCCCCCATTTTATATCTCTTATATTAATTGTATAGCATTAGCCCATTAGGTTTAAGTTTATTGTACTGATTATTATTGAAGCCCAATACAACAATACTCTGTCTTAGTCTCTTATCAGCGTGTGTCGTCAACCAAAAAGAAGGCGGGAGGAAGAGGAATCAGGAATGACTGGGCATGCAAGAGTGCCGACTTCCAAGGCGCAATTAAATCTTCAACGACCGGCTATGGAAAATCGAAACGTTTTCTCCAGATTCTAAGGTAAGCAACGGTCTCAATAATCAGATTCTTCTATTTCTTCTTCAGTTTCAATTGAATCGATCTCTTAATTCTTCCCCAATTCTCCCTTTTCTAATTTTCGATTTGGCGATTTAGTACATCCGATTGCTTCTCCTTCTACCGATTTCTTCCCCAATTCTCCCTTTTCTACCAATTATTGCCTTCTATTTTCGATTTTCAAGTTTAATTTTTTTTTTCTGCAATAGAACTAGACCATTGAGAATCTATGAAGACCACTGAGTCGGTAACAGTCTCACAGACGAAGACAAGATCACTCGAAGAAGCATTAATCCCACTGAATCGCTGTCTCGTTGTCTTCTCGGTTGTGAATCTTTTTTTTTATCTGTAAGTTCTAATTTCTAGCATTCATATTTCTTATTTTTCTGTGATTTTCTATTTTTTTTATGAATATGATATTCATAATTTTATGCTATGAAGAATCAATCCAGGAAAATGACCTTCTGATTGTGTGATTGTGAATCCCTGTAACTCACTAACTCTGATTCTATAACTGTAAGTAGCCTTCTCGGTTTTTTTAGAGATAATTTATTATTCATTTGCTTAATTTCAGTTGTTTAATGTTAATATTTCTTTAGTTTTTCTTTGATATGTTTATGTATTAGGGTTTAGAGCATGTTTTGGCTTTTTTATTTTATTGTTTTGTATTAATAGTTGATAGGTTGTTTGGCTTACGGGCCCCCTGTCCCGAAGTCGTTTCTTTCTATAGGTAGGGAGTCCCCAGCCTTCAATTATATTATTTTTTTTAATTAATAAAATTTTTGGAGGTGCCGCCCTCTTTTTTTAAGAAAAAAAACAATATGAGGGCCCCAATTTTGTTTTTGGCCCCGGGCCCCATTTTGTCTAGGACCGGCCCTTGGCTTTGAGATAAGTTTGTATCATGTTTTTTTCAGATTAGCGGAAATTTTTTATATAAAATGCCCAACATATTATCAACAAGCTAAAGAGCTGTTTGATATATACCAATCGATTCAGTGCTGAAATATTGATGCTCAAATTATTTAGAGACATGAACCATTGACCTAAATAATTCAGCATCATTTGGTAAGGTCGTTGAATAAGAAATAACCACATTACAACTCTTTCTCCCCCTTTTTTTTTAAAGACAAATATATCGAAATAAAGGCAACACACTTAACAAAACGCTAAGGGAATGCAAAGTACAAACAAGAAAAAGGAAACATATTGAGAGAAACAAGTAAATTTAGGAAACTGGAAAAAGCGAATAACTCCATTCTGCCCGGCTACCACAACCCTAGAGTTAGCACCATAAGTATGATAAGGCAATTACATTATCAACAATTTTTGTAGCTGGATTCCCCAATTTGTTGAAGATCACATCATTTCGAGCCAGCCAAACAATCCAAAGTAAACCAAAAAAATAGGAGTTTATAATTTGCTTTTTCCTAGAACAATTGCCTCATGAGACAGCATGATCTAGGAATTATGTCACATTATTGAACTGTTTATGAAGTACTCCGACCCGTATACATATCCACTCTCGAGCTACCTTGTTGAACTCATAATTTACAAGTAAATTGTCAACTGTTTCTGGTTCTTTATCACAAAGAGGGCACACAAGATTAGTGACTGTGATTCCCCTAACACGAATAGTGTATGCTACCGGAATTCTCCCCATTGAGGCTCGCCAAACCCAAAACCTACTTTGCCTGGAATAATATTTGACCAACATATCTCCTTTCCCCCGTAATGTATTACTTTCGAGTCGATCAAACCCCACATCTTCTTAACAGAGTAGCTACCATCCGTGCTTAAGCTGAAGTGGAATCCATATTTAGAACTTGAGATGTGCTCTAAATCACCGATACTCATGTATAACTTTAGCAGTTCTTCTAATGATTCTGCATCCTGTGGCCCATATCTCAAATTCCAGGTGAAACCGTAATTGGAAGGGAATTTCCCTGCACCAAGCATCCCTCCAGAATGGGCGTGCCAGCGCCATGAACGAGTGAGAAGACCTCATTGTGCTCGATATGAAAATCCCCCGATGCTTTTTATCGCTTTAACTAGAGCATTCCAGACACCTGATGATAATTTCCTAGCTATATAAGAGGTTGGCTTACGTGCTAGGTTATAAATGTTGGTAATCACCTCATTCCATAGGCTAACTAGGTCATTGAGAAGTCTCCACCACTATTTAGTAAATTTTACATATCAATCGAATTATATTTTCTTGTTATTTTATAATATTTTAACGTTTTGATTATTCATAAATTACTTTTGTATGATTCACAATTGAGTGTATTCACCTTGTAAACTGAACTGTATATATTCATTTATCAGAATTCACAATGTAAATTTGACTCACTATTATTCACCATGTGAATCTGAACCGAATATAATTTAGTTTTCAGCATTCACAACATAAATTTGAGCTAAAATTTCGAACAAAAAAAATTGTTTTTTATACTTAAACATGAATGTTTATTTAAAGACTATAAAAAAACTATGATTTTTGATATATGTATTTTCTTTTTCCGATAAACAATAACCCTAAACATTAAAAAAAAACAAAACAAAAAACAATACAAAACAAAACAACGGGGTTTACTTTTTAAAAAATAGTTTTGTAAATTTTGCAATTGATTTTTTCACACTGTGAATCAAAGTTATATATAATTTAGTTTTTATCATTCAAAATGTGAATCTAATTTACTATTATTCACACTGTGAATCTGAAGTGTATATACTTCATTTTTCCGCATTCACAACGTGAATCTGATCTAAAATTTCAACAAAAAAATTTGTTTATTACATCAATAAAAGGTAATTTCGTTATTTGGCATTATTGACCTTCCAATTATATTTCATTTATTTGTTATCACGTGTTTGAATTCCTTCAAATTTGAGAAAAGATAGTACTTTTGTATTTTTATTTGCACATCAAATGGGATTTGTGACTCCAAAATCCAATTATAAACTCTCATATGTAATTGTTTTCTTCCACTAAATTTTGGGCTTTAAGAGTTCCAACTCCTAACCCACATTCTTTTATAGGAGGTGTGACGTTAGCCCAATCCACCCAATGAATCTTGGGAGAATTTCGTATACGCCCTTGTTAAACAACTAAATATCGTATTTGTCAAATCTAAATTCTAAATATCGTGTTTGCCATTCTTAAGGTTTTTTAATATCATAAATACACAAATCTATTTTTTTGATTATTTTTATTGATTTATAATCTTTTTTACCATTTTAAAATCATTAAAGCTAAATTTTTTTTGACATAGACAATTTTGCCCTTGCTTCTAAATTCCAAAATTCATACCCACGTGAACAGATAGAAATCACAGATTCACGTCCTGCCTCATCAATCGTCTTCCATTGCGTCTTCATCGATCAACAATCACACAACAATCGCACACAATCGTCGATCAGCAATCACACGTCGAACTTCGTTGTTGCCTTCTTACCTATTCACTGCTGCAATCGGTTACAGGTTATTTTTGGCTTTCTTTGTAAACTGAAAATTCAATTCATGATTATATGTGTGATAAACCAAAGCCGACCTTATTCCTATTTTCCCTTTCTTTAATTTCATTTTTGATGTTGCTTAATTTGTTCACGTGACTGTTTTGAAACCCTGCTATACTGATGTTTCAAACTACTGTATTTACAATCTTGAATTACAAATGACAGAGATTTAAATGCAAGTATTTTCACGGTTTAAAAAATTGTAATTAATGTGAATAATGTGTTGAAACTTATACTTGATTACAATGAATTGTTTCCATCGTGTCAATTTTTTTGTGAGTTTAATGTTTGAAGCTACTGTATTTACAATCTTGAATTACAACTATCTCGAATGCTTGAAGTCATGTTAGTGAGGGACCCACTTCAATGCAATCTATTAATTCTTTACGTTTATTTAAGCATACATTTGGTATTTGTTATACCTTTATATCTGTTTTTCTTATCGCCGATTTAGAATTATGTTTTAGACGCGATACAAACCATTGTCAGAAGATCATTCTCAAACAACAGATATTACCCTTGATGACACATCAAAACCAATATGGGAATGCAGGGATACATCTCCAATAATCGAGTATGTTTATGTGAATATCTTAATTTTAATTTATTAAACCTTTACAAAAATTATATGATTGTTTCTCTAATTAATTTCAATTTCAGGCATATACCAACATCCAAGTTCAAATTAAAATTGAAATATAGGGGTTACTTTCGGCTAACGAAGAATAGTTGTAGGCAAATATATTGCTTTGGCTCTCAAAAATGTATCCACATAGACACAACTTTATACAAGTTAAGTCAACTACATGAAGAAGAGATAAAGAGTTATTCATCAAAGAACAACCCAAAATTTTCTATTCTTTATGTTGACAAGTATGCACCAGACAAGTTGTTTATTGAGCTTGATTCTGATGAAAAGTTCATGGCTATGCTTAGCATGTATGGAAGCGAGAAACAAGTAAACATTTATGTGACAACAGAGAATAACCTCAGCTCCAATATTCATACTAACCATTCGTGTGCCAACAGAGATGAACCACACGATGAGTGTGATGCAGACCTTTGTCCTAGTGAAGAAAGCTATCATCGTCATCTCAGTTCTAATAATGAAGACGGTCTAATGAATGATGATGATGAAGTTAACTCATTTAGTAAGAATAGTATGAGAATGGAAGTAGGCTCAAAATTTGAAAACGTGGTTGATTTTAGGAGAGATTTGAATCACTTTGCAGTCATAAATGAGTTTAACTACTACATTCAGAAAAGTGATCCGACACGATTCACAGCAAGGTGTGAAAACCTAGAATGTGAGGGCAGAATTCATGCTTCTATTACACAAGATGAAGTTACCTTTGAAGTAAGTGTATACGCTAAGTTATATTTAACATACTTTATATTAAATATATATTTAAGTTTATTTAATTCTTTTTTTAGGTTAAAAAAATGGTAGAAGTACATACTTGCACTCGAAGCAACAAGGGTGGAAATAAGCGTGCCACTCAAGGTTGGATTGCTAATGCAGTAACTGACAAGTTGAAATCTGATCGGGATGTCTCTCCATATGAGCTTAGAAATTGGATTATGAAAACTTACAATGTTGACGTATCGTAGCTAAAAGTTTTTAGAGGGAAAGAGCAAGCTTATGCTGACATGTATGGTAAGTGGGAAGACTCTTTCATGAAGATGGACGAATTTAGAGAAGAACTATTAAAAAGGAACGAAGGAAGCGTTGTTGAAATTGACTTTGACAAAGTTGGTGGAAAGAAACTTTTCAAAAGGTGTTTTATTTGTTTAGCAGGTTGTTCTAGAGGTTTTGTTGCTGGTTGTCGTCCGTATATTGGTCTTGGTGCTTGTCATTTAAAAGGAAAGTTTAATGGTGTACTAGCCGCTGCAACTGGTATTGACGATAACAATTCTATCTTTCCAATAGCATATTGTGTTCTTGAATCAGAAAACACACAATCATGGACATGGTTTCTTAACTCACTCAAAAAATTAAATGGAACACCAAATGGTCTTGTTATCTCATCGGACATGCAAAAATGTAACAACCGGACTCCCAGGTATAATATATATTTATTTATTTTTTAGGACTATTGAGCTACTCGACGAGTTGGTGCTACAACTCGTCGAGTAGAGTCGCGTTGTGACATGTGGGATTAATGATCTACTCGACGAGTCAGAGAGTCGATTCGCCGAGTAGACGCTGTGAAGTGAAACCCTAAATCCCCGAATTTGGGGCCTATATAAGGACACTTATATCCTCATTTGCGGCTCACCACCTGCTTAACCTTACTGTGTGAAACCCTAAACGAGTGTAGTGAGCTAAGAGAGTCTCCAAGCTAAACTTGAAGGATTTTAGTGCATCTTTGAGGAGGAAGAGGAGTTTGTTCAGCAAGGAACAAGAAGGAGATGTTGGGATTCAGGCCATTTCGTCCAGGGCTTCAAGAGGAAGGTAAAATGTTTGAATCTTTCCCCTTTATATGGTTAGATCTCATGAGTTTGAGAAATTAGGGTTTTCATCACATTTTATTTGGGACTTCGATCATACTAAGTTATCAAGAGGTTTAAACCTCAGATCTGGACCTTGAGAGGTCCCCAGAGCCCAAAGGTCCCAACTTTATTCATCCATATGAGGAGTATGGTGTTTAACACCTTGTGAGAACATGTATTGGTAGATTGGAGCAAAACCACCATGCATGAGCATAAAGATCAAATCTTTACGTGACAATCGAGCCTTAGGATGGTAGATCTAGTGTTTAGAGTGATAGATCTGCCTTAAAACGTCTGAATGAGAAATCAGATCGATGAGACTCGTCGAGTCCATGACCTGACACGACGAGTCGGTTAGGGTTTGTCCAGATGAGTTGGACCATGCGATAGCTCGGCGAGTCAGAGGTTAACTCGACGAGCTAGACCTTCAAGAGACTTATGAGGAATGGGTGGACTAGACGAGTCGCATGAGTGCACTCGGCGAGTCAGGTCAAACTTGGACTGTTGACTCGAGTTGACTTCTGTTGACTTTAGGGTTTGGTCAATATGAGTAATGGAGACCATGGAGGGGTAAAATGGTCTTTTACCCATTCCAAGAGTTAGAGAGAAAGAGATAACAACCTTTGGTATATTTGAGTATGAGTAGAGTATTAATTAGAAATGATTATCCTATATGTTAGGCGGAGGCTAGTTCGAGATTTCCGAGTACGATATTTTTACTTGCTAGCTTACGAGGTGAGTCTTCTCACTATACTTACCATGAGTGGTACCTTTGTGTGATTGAGATGTTTATTGTGCTTAACTATGTATCTTTATATTTTGCATCATGTCTTGTGATTTATGTTGAGTATTGTTATTATGAGCTTATTGAGTTGGGACCGGAGGGTCCCACTGAGACACATTGATCGGAGGGTCTTATTGAGTTATAGCCTAGAGTGGCTAATGAGCTGTGTGTGGTATATTGGGGAACTCACTAAGCTTCGTGCTTACCGTGTTAAGTGTTATGTGTTTCACGTACTTCTCAAGATCACAGGAAGGCGCCGGCTTGATTGTACACATACCTGCCTCGGAGATATGTTTTTGGAGGATCCTGGATTTGTGTTATAAATAGTTTTTTTAGACATGCGTTCTGATAACTTGATGTTTGTGGAAATTGTGATTTTGAAATGAGATAATTGGGTTTTTTAATGAAATTTTTTGTTTGAAAATTTACGGTGTTACAAGTGGATATCAGAGTCTTGGTTTGAGGGATTCGGATGCACCTTTGGGTATGTCTGGACTCAAACTGAGGATTTGAGAAAAAGGTTTCAAAAGAAATGATTTTTCTAAAACCTAGCAAGAGTTTTTATGAGAAAACGAGTTGAAGCGGTGTGTACAATCAGCCACAGCCCGAATTGTGATTTCCCAAAATACCCTTATTTAATAGTGTTATGAGATATTTATGAGATATTAGTAATGCATGCTAAAGGATAGGCTAGGTATTTCATATTTTAGTGCTAGAGTTGCCTGATTTGTGATGCCTTAGTCTAGGAGTCGTTGCTATCTGTTATATGCTTTGAGTATGTACTGAGTGAGAGTATCTAGCAGGATCACTTAGAGAGAGGAAATCTTGAGTCAAGGAATAATCTAGGGGAGATATCTAGATGAGTATATGAGGGATCCTCTGAGAGGGTAATCTTTTATTCGTGAGAGATAGAGTAATAGTGAACTGGGGCCTAGGAAGAGGACTTAGGATGACTACAGGTTGGTGTGGAAGGTAGTATTGGGCCCGTACTACTGAAAGCACCGGATATGTATGCAACCCAAGTAAGAATCCTTAGGATGCTAAGGAACGAGTAGGGATGAGTGATCGAGTGTGAATATGCTCGAGCGAGTCTCTGATGATTTTGTGTTGTGTTTCAGAGACATCATGGTCGGTACATGCCACAACCGCGGGAGCAGTGGGACTAGTGATGATGAGATTCGCAGGATGATTCACGAGGAGGTGGCCACAACTATTCGAGCGGAGATTCCTGAGATGTTTGGGTCTATTAAGATCACTTTGATTGAGACTTTTGATGAGCGGTATGCCGCTGTTACTGAGGCTGCTGCTGCTGCAGCCACCGCAGCTGTCGCTGCGGCCAGACCACAGGGAGGTGACTCGTTGCTGTACCAGGAATTCAGCAACACGAAGCCACCAGAGTTTGATGGGGCTGAGGATCCGATTGCTGCGATGAGGTGGATCTCTGATATCGAGGGGTGTTTCTACACTTGTTCTTTCCCCGAGCATTTGAGAGTACGGTTCACGCTGAACCAGCTTCGCTTGGGAGCGAAGGACTGGTGGAAGTTTGCGACAGCCAGTTTCACTCCTGCTGACCATTATGCAGTGACTTGGGAGAGGTTTGTTGTGATATTCCGAGATAAGTATGTTACCCCGGTGGAGAGGGAATGATTGGCCCAGGAATTTTTGTCTCTTAGGCAGAAGACAGAGTCGGTGACTGTAATTACATAGATGTTTCATGAGAGGCGTTGTTCTGCCCTGAGCATGTGTCGACTGAGCAGGCACGCATGAGCCGGTATTTGAGCATTATGCGGAGGGATATTTGAGAGTTCGTGGAGAACTCGTCTTATCAGACATTTGATGAGCTTCAGGCAAATGTCAGGAGGAGGGAGATCGAGCTGAAGACTCAGGCCAGGGAGGATGCAGAGTCTCAGGGGAGAGACCGACGGCCGGTGTCATCGCAGCCAGAAGCCAAGCGGGCTAAGTCCGTTGATTCGAGATCAGGAGGCCAAAAGGGCCGCACTTGTGGCAAGTGCGGCAAGAGTCATGAGGGATCTTGCCGGGCGGGGATTTACTACAAATGTGGCAAGGAGGGGCATATGGCGAAGCATTTCCCCAAGGGATTTGCAGTATGTTTTCACTACAATCAGACCGGTCATCGGAAGGCCGAGTGCCCTCAGCTTGTTTGGGGATCAGTCCATGGTTCAACTCCTGCTGCTTTGCGTGCTACTAATGTTCGGCCGGTGAAAGCCGAGGTTCCAAGGGCTCGTGGGAGAACTTTTCAGCTGACAGCGGAGGAGGTCCACGCAACACCTGATGTCGTGGATGGTACGTATTTCCTTATTATTTATTTTGAGATATTTATTGTGCTTATTCTGTGCTGTATTTAGGTACATTTCTTGTGAATTACGTACCTGCTTTGGTGTTATTTGACTTGGGTGCGAGTCAATCCTTCGTGTCTTTAGCTTTTAGTCATCACATCAGTATCCGACGGGAGGCGTTGAGTTGACCTATGAGGGTTTCCATAGCCGATGAGCATGCGGTTTTTGCTACTGATGTATTCCGAGGATGTGTGCTGGAGATTTTTGGTGTCGAGTTTCCGATTGACCTGGTACCGATCGCGATGGGTGATGTCTGTGTCATTGTGGGTATGGATTGGTTGAGCCGTTTTGGAGTAGTGATCAAGTGCGAGCGTCAGTTGATGATTATACAAGACCCTAGTGGGGGAGTGCTTATAGTGTATGGCGAGGGTACCAGATCTGGGTTAGCTTTCTGCTCTGCTGCCAGGGCGAGGCAGAGTTTACAGCAGGGTTATATAGGCTTCCTGGCATACGTGATGGATACGCGGATTGTGTCAGAGAGGCCGAGTTCTACCGCCGAGGTTCCGATAGTGTGCGAGTTTCCGGATGTTTTCCCCGAGGGGTTGTCGGGTGTGCCTCACGAGAGACAGGTGGAGTTCCGGATTGATTTGGTTGTGGGGGCGGCACCTATTTCCAAGGCACCTTATCGCCTTGCGCCACCAGAGATGCAGGAGTTATCCTCACAGCTTCAGGAGCTGCTGGGGAAGGAATTTATTTGACCGAGTAGCTCGTCGTGGGGAGCGCCGATCCTTTTTGTCAAGAAAAAAGATGGTTCGCACTGGATGTGCATCGATTACCGGGAGTTGAACAAGTTGAAGGTCAAGAACCGTTATCCACTTCCGAGAATCGACGATTTATTCGATCAGCTGCAGGGGGCATCTTGGTTTTCCAAGATTGATCTGAGATCCAGATATCACCATAGGAGAGTATGCGAGGAGGATATTCAGAAGACGGCCTTTAGAACTCGTTATGGGCATTACGAGTTTGTGGTGATGCCT